GCATTGTGTCCGACCTCCAGGCATTGTGTCCGACCTCCAGGCATTGTGTCCGACCTCCAGGCATTGTGTCCGACCTCCAGGCATTGTGTCCGACCTCTAGGCATTGTGTCCGACCTCCAGGCATTGTGTCCGACCTCCAAACATTGTGTCCGAGCTTCCTGGTCGTATTTCACCCTTGGAGGTGTGGGGGTGGAGCTAGGTGCACGCTCCTGGGACTTCTGCTTTGCGGTCCTCCCACTTGTTGACGGGTCGTACAGGGTCGTACAGCGTCGTACAGGGTCGTACAGCGTCGTACAGGGTCGTACAGCGTCGTACAGCGTCGTACAGGCTGCGGGTGTTTCCTGACATTTCTTCCGACTCATGTAATTACCTAAGTGTAGTTACAGGATGAGAGCTACGCTCGTGGTGTCCCGTCTTCCCAGCACTCTTTGTCATATAACGCTTTTGTGTGTATCCTGGTGCTTCTTGTCTTAAAAAAGGCTGTCTTTGTCTGTCTTATATATTATGGTCAGTACCGTGTGACACACACAGTACCGTGTGACACACACAGTACCGTGTGACACACACAGTACCGTGTGACACACACAGTACCGTGTGACACACACAGTACCGTGTGACACACACAGTACCCTGTGACACACACAGTACCGTGTGACACACACAGTACCGTGTGACACACAGTACCGTGTGACACACACAGTACCGTGTGACACACACAGCACCGTGTGACACACACAGTACCGTGTGACACACACAGTACCGTGTGACACACACAGCACCGTGTGACACACACAGTACCGTGTGACACACACAGTACCGTGTGACACACACAGTACCGTGTGACACACACAGCACCGTGTGACACACACAGTACCGTGTGACACACACAGTACCGTGTGACACACACAGTACCGTGTGACACACACAGTACCGTGTGACACACACAGCACCGTGTGACACACACAGTACCGTGTGACACACACAGTACCGTGTGACACACACAGTACCGTGTGACACACACAGTACCGTGTGACACACACAGTACCGTGTGACACACACAGTACCGTGTGACACACACAGTACCGTGTGACACACACAGTACCGTGTGACACACACAGTACCGTGTGACACACACAGTACCGTGTGACACACACAGTACCGTGTGACACACACAGTACCGTGTGACACACACAGTACCGTGTGACACACAGTACCGTGTGTGAACCAGGTAGTGACACACTGCTCACCTCCCCAGGAGGAGGGGGGGGGCAACACAGGTGTGGGACCCCAACACATCTGTTCCATCCTATACAACATTTGTCAAGGAGACACCTGTACTTGTTCATCTCCACCTGCGTGCGTGTGTGTGTGTGTGTGTGTGTGTGTGTGTGTGTGTGTGTGTGTGTGTGTGTGTGTGTGTGTGTGTGTGTGTGTGTGTGTGTGTGTGTGTGTGTGTGTGTGTGTGTGTGTGTGTGTGTGTGTGTGTGTGTGTGTGTGAGTGTGTGTGTGTGTGCGTGTGTGTGTGTGTGTGTGTGTGTGTGTGTGTGTGTGAGTGTGTGTGTGTGCGTGTGTGTGTGTGTGTGTGTGTGTGTGTGTGTGTGTGTGTGTGTGTGTGTGTGTGTGTGTGTGAGTGTGTGTGTGTGTGTGTGTGTGTGTGTGTGTGTGTGTGTGTGTGTGTGTGTGTGTGTGTGTGTGTGTGTGTGTGTGTGTGTGTGAGTGTGTGTGTGTGCGTGTGTGTGTGTGTGTGTGTGTGTGTGTGTGTGTGTGTGTGTGTGTGTGTGTGTGTGTGTGTGTGTGTGTGTGTGTGTGTGTGTGTGTGTGTGTGTGTGTGTGTGTGTGACCAGGTACTGTGACCAGGTACTGTGACCAGGTACTGTGATCCGGTACTGGGACTTTTTAAGTAATTCAGCGCCATGTTTTCCACAAACAGCTGGTAATTTTACGTCAAAGTCGTCAATTACGTCTAAGGCGACGTGGATGACGGAACGACGCCCACCGTTGTCTCATTACACAAGGGTTCGCACCCGGGTCCTCTTACTGGCGAGGCCAATATCCTATCCTCCAGACCAGAAGGGTTAATGGTCTCGGATGTACTTTCAAGACCAGAGTTAGGCGTCTCGGATGATTTAAGTGGCGTGTAAGTTGTTCACAGTACGACCACAGTACGACCACAGTACTGTGAACTGGTCGTCGTGGTTGAGGTTCTCCACAGGATTACAGTGTCAAGGGGAAAAAGTACTTCTTGCCACCATTTTGGTCTCAAGTTCCAGTGTTTTTAAGGTCATTGTTGGTCTTAGAGCGACTAAAACTTGGTTTCGGTCGCGCCAAATCCACGTCTCAGTCGCTGATTGGCTTCTGTTATGTAAACAAAAAGGGTGATTGGTGCCTCCGAAATTCCTTCGCGGCTGATTTACTTCTCGGGTTTTAATTGGCTATTGTAATGTAAACAAAAATGGTGATTGGTGAATTTGCTTCCTACTAGCTGCTAATCAATTTAACACAGGAGATATAAGTAAGCTTGTAAAAATATATCAACTCAAAAGTGAACAGAAAGCAACGGACACAAATGGGACAAGATGTGGGTGAACAAATTATTTGTGGAACAAATTACTATCAAAACATAATAGACGGAGAGTCGATGGATTGTTTCAAGCGTAGGTTAAACATATATGAATAAGTTTGGGTGGATATAAATATTTTGCATAGAATATATTTTGAATAGAAAAAAAATATATATTTTGCTATAGACGAAGCTGCCGTCTATAGCAAAATAGACCTTCTGACTTTTCCTTTCCTTTTAATTTCTGAAAGGAAGTAAGATAGACAATGACTACTTAAACCTATCTGTTATATATTATTAAGCCTTGGCTGCGCAATCGCTTCCGGTGTCACAAACGGGCGCTAATTGGCTATTAAAACTTTCTGTTGCCCGATATTTCACCTCCCAATCTGTGATTAGTTTGCATAATATAACCCACTGATTGGCTGCAGCACTATAGTCTCTATAGTCTATTTTCCCGTCAAGATCTCAACAGTGACTTCCTCATGTCGAGAAAGACGAGGATAAATGCACGTGGATCCCACAATATTCACAGGTGATGGTGTAATTTATTGCCCAATTGAACTTTCTATCAACTCTCTCTCTCACACACACACACACACACACACACACACACACACACACACACACACACACACACACACACACACACACACACACACAACCATCTTTTAGTGTCAGAGTGGTTGACATATGGAATGCATTAGGCAGTGATGTGGTGGAGGCTGACTCCATACACAGTTTCAAGTGTAGATATGATAGAGCCCAATAGGCTCAGGAACCTGTACACCTGTTGATTGACGGTTGAGAGGCGGGACCAAAGAGCCAGAGCTCAACCCGCGCAAGCACAATTAGGTGAGTACACACACACACACACATAAGAAATATAAGAAAATTCACCTTCGCAAATAGAGTGGTAGACGATTGGAACAAGTTAAGTGAGAAGGTGGTGGAGGCCAAGACCGTCAGTAGTTTCAAAGCGTTATATGACAAAGAGTGCTGGGAAGACGGGACACCACGAGCGTAGCTCTCATCCTGTAACTACACACACACGACCTGAGATCACATGTATGCGGCCAGACTGTTGTTGCTCTGAATCCCAGCAAAACTCATTTGCATATTTCACAACTCATTTATATCCGTCTCTTTATTAGCAGAGACGAAGTGAAACGGATGTTATCGCTCATTAATTCTTTCTCGTAACATGAGACCTTTCTCACTCGTTCTCAGTCTCGTAAAATAAGACCATATTGTAAATGAGACCATATTGTAAAATGAAACCATATTATAAAATGAGACCATATTATAAAATGAGACCATATTGTAAAATGAGACCATATTGTAAAATGAGACCATATTGTAAAATGAGACCATATTATAAAATGAGACCATATTATAAAATGAGACCATATTGTAAAATGAGACCATATTGTAAAATGAGGCCATGTTGTAAATGAGACCATATTATAAAATGAGACCATATTGCAAAATGAGACCATATTGTAAAATGAGACCATATTGTAAAATGAGACCATATTATAAAATGAGACCATATTATAAAATGAGACCATATTATAAAATGAGACCATATTATAAAATGAGACCATATTATAAAATGAGACCATATTGTAAAATGAGACCATATTGTAAAATGAGACCATATTGTAAAATGAGACCATGTTGTAAAATGAGACCATGTTGTAAATGAGACCATATTGTAAAATGAGACCATATTGTAAAATGAGACCATATTGTAAAATGAGACCATATTGTAAAATGAGACCATGTTGTAAATGAGACCATGTTGTAAAATGAGACCATGTTGTAAATGAGACCATATTGTAAAATGAGACCACATTGTAAAATGAGACCATATTGTAAAATGAGACCATGCTGTAAAATGAGACCATATTGTAAAATGAGACCACATTGTAAAATGAGACCATATTGTAAAATGAGACCACATTGTAAAATGAGACCATATTGTAAAATGAGACCATGCTGTAAAATGAGACCATATTGTAAAATGAGACCATATTGTAAAATGAGACCATATTGTAAAATGAGACCATAGTGTAAAATGAGACCATATTGTAAAATGAGACCATATTGTAAAATGAGACCATATTGTAAAATGAGACCATATTGTAAAATGAGACCATATTGTAAAATGAGACCATATTGTAAAATGAGACCATAGTGTAAAATGAGACCATAGTGTAAAATGAGACCATATTGTAAAATGAGACCATGCTGTAAAATGAGACCATATTGTAAAATGAGACCATATTGTAAAATGAGACCATGCTGTAAAATGAGACCATATTGTAAAATGAGACCATATTGTAAAATGGGACCATATTGTAAAATGAGACCATATTGTAAAATGAGACCATATTGTAAAATGAGACCATATTGTAAAATGAGACCATATTGTAAAATGAGACCGTCTCGTAGAGAGACCGGCGCGGTGACCTGTGTAAAAACCGGATCAACGGGTGTGGACACCTGCGGGTACCTGACTTCCGGTGAACCAGATAATGAGGAGCTGATTAGTGCGTCCTTACACCCCCCGGGTCGTCACCACCCCCCGGGTCGTCACTACACCCCGGGTCGTCACTACACCCCGGGTGGTCACCACACCCTGGGTCGTCACTACACCCCGGGTCGTCACCACACCCCGGGTCGTCGCCACACCCCGGGTCGTCACCACACCCCGGGTCGTCGCCACACCCCGGGTCGTCACCACACCCCGGGTCGTCGCCACACCCCGGGTCGTCACCACACCCCGGGTCGTCACCACACCCCGGGTCGTCACCACACCCCGGGTCGTCGCCACACCCCGGGTCGTCACCACACCCCGGGTCGTCACCACACCCCGGGTCGTCACCACACCCCGGGTCGTCGCCACACCCCGGGTCGTCACCACACCCCGGGTCGTCACCACACCCCGGGTCGTCGCCACACCCCGGGTCGTCACCACACCCCGGGTCGTCGCCACACCCCGGGTCGTCACCACACCCCGGGTCGTCGCCACACCCCGGGTCGTCACCACACCCGGGTCGTCACCACACCCCGGGTCGTCACCACACCCCGGGTCGTCACCACACCCCGGGTCGTCACTACACCCCGGGGACACCCCGGGTCGTCACCACACCCCGGGTCGTCACTACACCCCGGGACACCCCGGGTCGTCACCACACCCCGGGTCGTCACCACACCCCGGGTCGTCGCCACACCCCGGGTCGTCACCACACCCCGGGTCGTCACCACACCCCGGGTCGTCACTACACCCCGGGGACACCCCGGGTCGTCGCTACACCCCGGGTGGTCACTACACAACACAGAAGATAGAATCTCCATAGCTTCTACCCTAGTACTCACACAACCAATGACTGACCTGCTCCCTCTTGACTGACCATCACCCAATGAATGAACGGTTCCCGCATGAATGAGTAACCAACACACTACACAATGTTTACAATCCGTCAGCTGATTCAAACAACAAAGCGAGAGTGAGAGGGAGGGAGGGAGAGGTGCTCACCTAACTGTGCTCTGATGGGGGTCACAGAACACCGTCTGCAGCTCTTTCAAATGTCGTAATGTAATGCCAGTTTCCTTATTACCTTTGAACGTGTGTATGGAGTTAATATATCTTCCAATTCCTCCTCCAATGTATTATATCTGCTTATCTAGGGAAGCTTCCATACATCTGTATGCTCATTGGAGTTCTTGATCTGGCAAATACCATATAAGTCGTGATCATGTCTCCTCTTTCATCTATGTTTATCGTATTCCTGATCCCTCAGTTCTGGAAGCAGTGTCAATCTTTTGTTATTCTATCCTTGCCAGGGTTACAGGCTCGAACTGTGTTCTCGTAAAGTTTGGCAGCAAAAGTATATAATATTGTGTTTGTACTCTCCTAGAAGTACTTCTACAAGTACCCTGCTTCTACTTCTGCAAGTAAACAAAACCACCATGATTGAGTAAAGATGTAAAGGTTTCGTAAGCAGTGGCCCAAATACTTGATGAATCCTGGGCCTGCTTCTCTAATCCAATCCAGTTTCCTCCCAGTTATCCCTGCGTGACTGTGTGGATAAATCCCCCCCCCCCCCGTCCCATCCCAAATCCTTATCCTGATCCCTTCCAAGTGCTATATAGTCGTAATAGCTTGGTACTTTCCCCTGATAGTTCAATTCAATTCTGACCATCCCGGAAGTTACAATCTGTCCATCGTGGCCTTTCCGGCTCCATCGGTGGTGGGCCCGTTGTCGTAAACCTCCGACAGGTTCGATACCCAGGTCTTGTACTCTCACGCGCCCTGAAGAAAATGTATATATGCTGGTTAGCATTGTAAATGAGTGGCCACGTCTGTGGTAGAAAATAATAATAAAAAAAAATAAAATAAAAAATAAAAGAGCCTTGATAATGGCATCTCTAGCGGCCACCATTCATTAAGGATTTATGCGTCCACTAAACGAAACCTCTCCATCTTTCCTCACTTATTAAACAGTTTACGAGCTTTGAAGCGATACGAAGTTATTGTTTATAACAGTAATAACTTTGGGTTGTGAAGTTTTCCCACGTTCATAACTTTGATAAACGTAAACACAGCCGCCATGATTGATGAAAGATGTACAGGCTTCGTAAGTGTCTTGACCCTGGGACCATCACTGACGAGCTTACCAGTCTCTATCTAGAAGACACATCGTGGTCACCTCCAGCAAATGTAAGAGATTTGTCTCTCCGTAAAAAATACAGCTGTTGTCCCTATCCATATATATATATATATGTCGTACCTAGTAGCCAGAACGCACTTGTCAGCCTACTATGCAAGGCCCGATTTGCCTAATAAGCCAAGTTTTCATGAATTAATTGTTTTTCGACTACCTAACCTACCTAACCTAGCCTAACCTAACTTTTTCGGCTACCTAACCAAACCTAACATATAAAGATAGGTTAGGTTAGGTTAGGTAGGGTTGGTTAGGTTAGGTTAGGTTAGGTTAGGTTAGGTTAGGTTAGGTAGGGTTGGTTAGGTTCGGTCATATATCTACGTTAATTTTAACTCCAATAAAAAAAAATTGACCTCATACATAACGAAATGGGTAGCTTTATCATTTCATAAGAAAAAAATTAGAAAAAATATATTAATTCAGGAAAACTTGGCTTATTAGGCAAATCGGGCCTTGAATAGTAGGCCAAAAAGTGAGTTCTGGCTACTAGGTACGACATATATATATATATATATATATATATATATATATATATATATATATATATATATATATATATATATATATATATATATATATATATATAGTGTCAAGCAGCCCACTTAACCTGTTGAGGCAGAAGCAGAGAAAACGTCAATCACTGCTTTAAGTTTTGCTACGTCGTATTTCGGTCGATTATGTAAAAAAGTGATGTATTAGGTGAGCGAACAGTTGGACAGTCAATTTTCTATGTCCAACAATTTGATTCATAACACGAATCAATTATATATGTTAAATGTAGTTTTCTACATTTAACATATATAACTGATTCGTTATATTACCAAGAGCAACAACCACAGCCCTAGCTACCAGAGTAGTGGTCAACCCACAGGTCAACCAGGATAGGGCTTAATTACAGCCTAACCTCCAAAGATATCACCCACGGCTAGGTGAGGATAGGTTGGTTACGTTACACCATAGGTTTGACGTTTACAAATTAGCGATGACGTCTAACTACAATTCTTGGGGCATCCCTTTTTGGAGGCGTGCTAGTGGGACAAATATGACCAATCGCCGTTTTCAGTACTTGGCATATGTTGGGTATAAAAAAGTCGCAATTTCAAACTGCAAATACGTGCAGAGAGCCAGAATTTGGCTCCAAAATATGGCTCAGGCCTCGAAATTGGGATGTTCGGGATATTTTGAAAATTGCAGGGGGGATTGGGACATATGTGGCCAAACGCCGCTTTCAGTAAGACAGCCCTTAACTCTACGCCCTCACTCTGTAAGTTCTCTTCTGTACTCTTGTCTAGAATCTCTAGATGGATCATGTCCTTAAAAGTCGCCGAGGATGGCCTGCGGGCTGCTCTAAGCAACAGCCTAGTGGACAAGTCAAGCCTGGCCTCAGGCTGGACTTGGGGAGTAGGACAACTCCCAGAACTCCATCAAGCAGGTAGCAGCAAGCAGGAGGGTGAGCAGAAGGTTCAGTCCAGGTGTCAGCCTTCAGTAGTGAGCCCAGATTTGTTTAGTCAGCTGTGTCTCCAACACATTATGCTGCGTCAGATGTGTTACTTTACGGGCTATTCATGCCCGTGCCACCTCCTGGTTGGCTTCATCTTAATCAATCAATCAGATGTGTCATCGGTCTCTTGGTTCCGCGTAACACACACACACACGGGACCAATTGCGAGAGGCGGGACCAAAGAACCAAAACTCAACCCGTGCAAGCACAACTAGATGAGTATAACTAGGTGAATACACACTAACTCATTCACATAATCTTGTCCAATTACTTGGGCTGGACGGTAGAGCGACGGTCGCGCTTCATGCAGGTCGGCGTTCAATCCCCGACCGTCAAAGTGGTTGGGCACTATTCCTTTCCCTCCGTCCCATCCCAAAACCTTATCCTGACCCCTTACCAGTGCTATATAGTCGTAATGGCCTGGCGCTTTCCCTTGATAATTCCTTCCTTCCTTCCTTCTGGTCACTGAAGCAACAGTGACCAAAGTCAAGAAGTAACTGCAGGCACTGCACGTGACAAGAGCCGCGCGACCAGACAGAATATCGCCATGGGTACTAAAAGTCACCTGAAGCGTTGTGCAGCCCACTTGCTATAATATTTAATTCCTCTCTAACAAACAGGAGAACTTCCTGCCAGTTGGAAAATGGCTAATGTGGTGCTAATGACAAACCGTTAAACTGGTTATCACTAACAAGTACCCCGCCCCCCTTGTAAGAGTAACTAATCCGTCCCAACCTGCAAGCACACGTAGGTGAAAGTAGAGAGGCAGAGAGGCAGGGGTGTGTGGATGAGCCGCCAGAGAGGCAGGTGTGTGGATGAGCCGCCAGAGAGGCAGGTGTGTGTGGATGAGCCACCAGAGAGGCAGGTGTGTGGATGAGCCGCCAGAGAGGCAGGGGTGTGTGGATGAGCCGCCACCAGAGAGGCAGGGGTGTGTGGATGAGCCACCACCAGAGAGGCAGGGGTGTGTGGATGAGCCGCCAGAGAGGCAGGGGTGTGTGGATGATCCACCACCAGAGAGGCAGGGGTGTGTGGATGATCCACCACCAGAGAGGCAGGGGTGTGTGGATGAGCCACCACCAGAGAGGCAGGGGTGTGTGGATGAGCCGCCACCAGAGAGGCAGGGGTGCGTGGATGAGCCGCCTGCTCCTGATTTATGATAAGAACCCAAAATCCAGAAAAGCCATCAGGCGAGGTGTGAGACAACGCCCATGGCCGCCACTCTTGGCGGGACTGATGACGAGCGCCCGCCCAACCCTCCCGCCCTCCCTCCGGCGCTCTCTCCCATAATTTCAAGCGACTTTTACAAACTTTTGCCTCCAATACATATCAGTTTCCCCGTATCAACAGGACAATGAGGCTATTCCAGCTCATAATGGGTCAAATTTGTGGCTGGTGGTAGTGGTGCGCGGGGTGGAGTGCGCAGGTGTCCCAGAGCGGCGGCGGTGTCCGAGCGCTGGCCCACAACTGGCTTCACTCGAGCACTTTATTTATTGTTTACGTCGCTAATGAGGGTGTCGTCGGGTCATGAAAGGTGCCGCTGAGATCACCTGACGGAGGAGAGGCTGGAGGTGCTGGCCCTGGGCACATGCCTGCACCTTGGGGGGGGGGGATACTTCCACTCTCTTAACTCAAGAGATTATATCCTCAGCCTGTCCTTCAAGCTAGCAAACATGGAGAGGATTATTTTGCTCTTTATTTTATTTTTAGTCTAGTTCATTATTATACATGCAGTACAATCCTGTGAGTGGCAGTGGTGCTCATACCCATCCTGTGAGCGGCAGTGGTGCCCATACCCATCCTGTGAGCGGCAGTGGTGCCCATACCCATCTGTGAGAGGCAGTGGTGCCCATACCCATCCTGTGAGCGGCAGTGGTGCCCATACCCATCTGTGAGAGGCAGTGGTGCCCATACCCATCCTGTGAGAGGCAGTGGTGCCCATACCCATCCTGTGAGCGGCAGTGGTGCCCATACCCATCCTGTGAGCGGCAGTGGTGCCCATACCCATCCTGTGAGCGGCAGTGGTGCCCATACCCATCCTGTGAGCGGCAGTGGTGCCCATACCCATCCTGTGAGCGGCAGTGGTGCCCATACCCATCTCTTTACCTATAAAATATAATATCTGACTGCTTGAAGTTGGAGACCAGACGCTTCGGGGTTAGCCTCATCGAAATTTTGCACAGTGAT